CGGAAAAACCTTCTAGGAAATCAGGCCAATGATATAGTGAGGCAATGACATTTATTAGGAAGAGAGTAAGATTTGACCTTTTGAGAACAACAGTCATAGCTCTTAGAGGAGAGAGAGGGTTAAAAAGTAGTAGTGCAGTAAAAATAGAAGAATTAGATATAAATTTGGAGCCAGTTCTTTAAACTGGCTTACTTAAAGGGTGTTTATAAATTTTATGTAGTTTTCTATTGCATTTATATTGAATTTTTATATAGGGTAATTGTTATATTATGTGTATATTGTTTGAAATTCTTCTTTTTTAAAGATTAAGACCAGATCTGCTCACTTTGAACAAATCTGAGCCGTAATTGGTAAAACCATTAAGTATACAAGGATACAAGGATACAAAAGTGATAATTACTTTATTGAGTACACAATAGTTGTAATTCTGAAATAATTTAAGTTACACAATTCTAATTATTTACAAGTGTGTAGGGATAATTCAGATATGTTATATAATGCTAGTTTTAGAAAAATAAAACGAGTTTGTATGGTTCAATTTTATTTTAAGGTCCTATAGCATTGTGCACTTGCCAGTATTTGAGTGGAAATCTGGGCTCTTATAATAGGCGGTATATTGTTCGTTCACAGAGAGAATTGAATGGATTGCTCTTGCTGTGGCAGTGAGTGTGGTAGGATCTAGAGTTTTGTTGGAGAGCAAACCGACTAGGTCAGTAATGTTTTGGGGATGGAAATTGAATTTTCCCTAACTGAGGAGTAGAGCAAACAGTCAATCAATACGTGACTTTCGTCCTCAATAGGCTTGAGCCCTTTGCTGAAAAAGCAGTAGGTGCACCAAAGTTCTTCTCTTGGTACAAGGGGGGTTTCGTATCTGCCCCTTTTGATGTAGAGGTTGTGGCAGCTGATACGAAACCTTGTCAGACTTTTTCGAACATCAGGTATTTTGATCATTTGTAGATATGCCTCTGGTTCGAAATCATGTTTAATTAAGTTATAGAATTCTAGTTTTGGCGAGGAGGCCTTGGCAGCTTTCCAGGTTTTCACGAATTCTTCCCTCATGATATGACTGATAGCTAGGCTCACGATATCGTGAGATTCTCCGCGAGATTTCGGCACCCTCTTTCAGCACTACATATTCGGTCGCGCTTGCATTTTCATCGCTTTCCAGTGTGTTTATTCACTGTACTGTCTAAGTCTTAAAGGATACTAGTTGTTATAAGATCAAGATTCACAGTGGTTACTATAGTTACCATGGTTACCATTAAAGGAGGTACTATTCCTGGCTACAGTCTACTCCATCTTTCTCAGAATATACTTGATACTGCCATAGGCATAGTGAATATTTCTTCATTAAAAGTTTGAGAAAGGGTCTCTTCAACTGGAGAACTGACTTATTAATCCTAGCAGGTAATTAACTCTGGATCCTCATCACATTGATTCCATTCTAAATTCTAGCCATAAACAAAACAAACATTACCAGATAACTCCGTTTACAATAATTTGACATGTTCCAGGCTTACCATAATTACAATATGTAACATAATATAATTCATAAAAATACGCACGTAAATTTTTCGTTATTTATGGATCCAATAACAGTGACTTACTTTTCGCTTACAAAGGGACTCGCGAAATCTTTTTAAATAGAAAATAATCTGTGGGGCAAGAAATCTTGCAGGCTGGGGGAAAGGGGGGGGGGAGTACATTTCGCCACTGCACGTGACACGTGAAAATCGCACTTTTAGTGTCAAAATCCAATCTCATCGCACTTTTTTTAGAATCTTGATAGGGGGGAAGATGAGGGGGTGAAGTTGTATTTGGTGAGAAGCTTTGAGATGATGGTATACCAAGGAAGTCCCAACATGATTTGTTCGTGAAATACAGCATAGAGTAGTTCGTTTTCAGGCTTCAAAGAATAGGGGGTGGCGCCCGCTTTCGCCCCAGCAACCTATATTTGATGCTTTTGAATGGACAGACAAAGACCACTTGATAAACTTTAGGTGGAATTTTTCATAGTGGTCTTGTGCAATGTACTTCAAGGTATGCTGGGGGTCATCTATTTTTGAAAGGTATCTCATGGTTTTTGAGCAGGGGCATAAGACTTGATAGCCATAAAGCAGGATTGGTTTTATTAAGGAGTCAAATAGAATATAATTAAGGGCACAGTGAGAGAGGGCATCCTTAACTATTTTGCCTTTGAGGCCATAGAGAGCGCGGAGAGCCTTGGCCCTCAGCTCAGAATTTGCTGCTGTAAACGATCCATTTCTGTGGAATATTATGCCAAGATAGCAGTATTTATCGGTGTGCTGGATGGGCTGACCTCCCAATGTGAATGTTTCATAGGACTGCTTTCGTTTGGGAGGGCTGAATATTACAATCTTAGTTTTCTTAATATTTACTTCAAGGCCCATGGAGTTACAGAAATCAAATAGAATGTTGATATTGACTTGCAAGGCCTCAGGACTTAGAGCAAGAAGGACAAGATCGTCAGCCCACAGCAGATACAGTGATATCAGAACGTCAGCAAGAACTGGATAGTCACCAACAGATTTCAGGAGAGATGAAAAGTCATTAATGTAGATTTTTAAAAAGTCTGGTGATAGGGGGTGTCCTTGCTCCGTTCCTTTGCCAATATCAATTTTAGGCGACAAGAGTTTGGAAATTTTTATATGGGCAATAGAGAAAAGACAATTTTTTTTGAGAAAAGACAATTTTATTATTTATCACCAATTCAATACATAATCAATAAATATATATCCGAATAAATTTGATTAAAAATTAAATGATACAAGTATGCTAGCAGCTAGCGCGCTTATATTTGATAAATATTCACGCTGTTAAAATGGGTTTTACGCTGTTAAAATAGAGTTTTTGTACATATCACTAAGGCAGTTGAGGAAGTTACCGGTTAATCCAAGGCATGTAATTTTGTGCAGAAGGAGGTCCCTACATACAGTGTCAAAGGCCTTTCTTAGATCAACAAAGCATGCATAAAGACGAGCCTTTTTAGCTTTTGTGTATTTGTCAATGACTGTCTTGAGGGTGAAAACGTGATCATTAGTTTGGGCACCTTTCGAAAATCCAAGCTGTTCTTTTGGGTCAGGACAGTAGAGCTTTTTGAAGTGTAACAGACGTTCAAGTAAGATGCTAGAGAACAGCTTACCCATTCAACTGCCAACTGCTATTGCTCTGTAATTGTCTGTGCTGAAGGGGTTGCCTGATTTGTAGATAGGAGTGATAATACTGGTATGCCATGGATAGTAGCCTTAATAACCTTAAAAGCTTCAATAAGGTCCCCACGTATTCACCGCTCTGATGTCATAAATTAAATTAAACTTTACTTTTACCTTTACTTTATATCATGTGATCGAGTTATAGTATAGTGCGATGCACTAGCGCACTATATTGGGCTGCGCCACGCATCTAATATTGTTTCTCAGCTCTTCGCTAAATCACATGATGACATGTCAGATCTTTTGAGCGTGCAGCCGAGGGCTATGCTCATATAGTCCATTGTTAAAAATTAGCATAAAATGCAGTTAAATTTGCGATTAACTGGCACCGTAAAATATGTTACATGGCCAAAACTTGACGAATGTTATTCGTATAAATTTCTTCGAAGTAGCGCCCAAGGCAATTGCTACAAAGTTGTTTTACCGCCGTGAGGCGGGAGCGCGCTACTGCAAGCACAAGGGCTCTGGATAGAGCAAATATATGTGTTATGTGAAGTGATTTGAAAATTAAATAGGTGTCAGGTAAATATTAAAAACTTGCTGCAAAGCCGGGCCCGACAGCTGAGCCGTGCATATTATAATAGACGTGCGCTTATTTTGTATTTTAACTGATTTATACCGCACTGTAAAATCGAGCGCTACATAAACAACCAGCTGTTTTAAATCCCTTATATTTGTTTTCATTGAATTTTAAGATTACTTCTTCTCACTATTTTGGATTTGATTTCGAATTTTGTTTCATAATCACGTGACCTCATGCTCATAATCACATGAACTCAGACCCAATCAATTGGGTTCTGGCCCGGTCAGCCCCCTTTAAACTGATCTTGAGGTGACATACGACACCTCATTTACCCAATCAATGTCTGGAAAGCTGCAAATTGTCACATGCCAATGACTTAAGATTCTTAAGAAGTTGTGCGAGATGACGACACATAGAGGCTGCAGAATTATGAAATATGAGGACTACCAGATCCTGGTGAACCAAAGCAATCCATGATATCACGACAGGCCCTACAGTTTGTGCTACAGAGAAAATATGTGATCTGATCCGATCTGAACATACGAATGTTAGTAGCTAGTGATGATTACAAATTTCGACACGATTGGCAATGTACTGCAAAGAAAGCAAGAATTTTATTGAATATCTAACATGTTGATATTATTAAGTTACTGCGTACCAGTGGCGTAACGTTGCCTGTTGGCGCCCCCCGCCGAAAAAGCGTCCCCCGTTGGCGCCCCTCCCCTTATTGTGCCCCTCCCTAAAATTGAACAAATTAGGTAATTTAGGAGGATATGCCGGTAAAATCTCTAAAAAAGTGTTTATCTAGAGCAAAACGCGCAGTTTTGCTAGTACTTTAGTTAAGTTTTCGAAATTGTCCCACATTCAAACGACAATTTTGTGCCCCCCTAAGACGGCGCCCCCCGCACAGCGGGGTCAGCGGGGCCCTTGGTTACGCCACTGTTGTGTATGTCACGTCCAAACTTTCCTTTTGAGCTTTTGTCAGTGTCCAGATTTTTTCATTGGTAGAGCAGTGCCGATTTGCATTTTTGTTTAACTGATCTCATGCTTCTCTTTCCGGCTAATAACACTCATTTTGGAGGGACAAATACCTAACAACCGGCACTTACTTGTGTTTTGTTATGGCTATTAGGCGGCTGTTAGAGGTCTGTTAGTTTTACAGCCGCTAATAGCTTAAATATTATTTAGTCATCATTTTGAGACAAAAAAATTGAGTGACTCATTTCAATTTATCCCCTATTTAGATGGCCCCGGATAAATTGAGACCCGGTGGTGAGTCTGCAATTGAACTTTGGGAAACTTGTGATCCTGATAATTGGGCGGAAGCACTAAATTCTTATGATGATTCTTGTGAATTTACTCAGAAGAGCTTGAAAAACTCTCAGTTAAAGCTATCAAAAAAGTCGTTTCTTGATGATGATAAATGGAAAGAGGAGAGTCTTCCAAAGCTGATAGTCTCTAAAAAAGTGATCACCCTGCCACAGTTGGAGCGGTTGATGGTATGGAAACTGAGACGAGGACAGTTCCGTCCCACATTAATGGGGTTGATCAGGAGAAACTCTCCAAATAATGTAGAAGATGTAACAAATAAAGCAATCACTCTAGTATTGGAATCAACTAAAAATGTTACTGAAGCATTCAAGGTTCTTGAAGGTCTCCACGGGGTCGGACCTGCTACAGCGAGTCTTATTCTATCTGTTATCCAGCCCAGTGAAGTGCCATTTATGTCAGATGAAGCTATGGATGCTTCAATAGGATTGCCAAGATCTTATACAGCAAGCAGATGTAAGAAGTTTCGTGTAGCAATGACAGCTAAAGCAAAGGAGTTGGGCGATGAATGGAATGTTAGTCTTGTCGAGAAAGCTCTGTTTACTGCCGCTGTTTTAGGAAGGCAGGAGCTGAAATAATTTCTGTGTAATTTTAGTGAGATATTATGAACAATACGCTAGTGGTTATATAGAGCAATGGGATATAAATTATCTATTGATCCATTGTTTCTATTTCTTAAATCTTTATCAATTCTATTAGTAACTTGTGAGCGCATACTTTTATGTGATTAAGTTATACTAAGTAAGTTAAATTCTATTAATTTCATTTTTCATTTTATAATTATTTTCGATAAACTTATTTCATAATTTTAACAATTATCATAATTTTGTCGACTTTATTTTGCTGCATTTTTTCGCTTTGGTGTACAAATCGAAATGACATTCTTGCTGTCACTGTCTCTCTCTCTCTGTTCTGGTCAACAGTTTCTGGCCTCTTACTATAAAGAAGGAGACCCTATCACCGTGCCCACAGAATGCAACTCCTGCTAGCTGCATTCCAGGACTCCCAAAGTATATACGAAATCATAGAATAATAAATATCAATGCAACAGACCTCTGGAGTCTTGAAGCTGTCACTGTTAACTTTAAATGGATCACTATGCAATGAAACACACCAGTTGTTACAAGTAATTATCAAACCCCACAGACAACATGTTTGTGGTACATTCTGAAATAGAACACAATTAGTATATAATATATCGACTATCATAAATATATAAACCAAATATATAGCAATTCACAATTTCCCGTTCTTTCTTAAAAAGGCTTTGAAAGATTTAAAATATTAAATATAAAATAAAGGTGTCACAAGAAAGACTATAATCTTTCTAAATATAACTTCCCTCTTTGTGGATACATGCACAACATGTAATAGAAAATCGTTTTAAACGAACACATTATATATATATCACAAATACCAATATATTCACTCTTTTAACTTCTTTAAGTTTCAAATTATTAAGATTATTAAAATCCTTCACACACAATATTAAAAACTTTGAATACAATGTTTATTATTGGAATACAATTCTAAACAGTTCATTGTCAAATTCTCCTGATGACAATACCTCCCGTAGCAGTGAAGTTGGAGCTCCAGCTTTAGTCAAACAATCTGCAAGCTGTTTCTTTGTTGAAATCTAACGAACTGTCATTTCACTATTGTTCACTCGCTGTCTCAGGCAAGCTATTGGTATCCTCAATCCCTTGTCATCAACATTTTTCGAGGTTTGGATAGCATCAGTTTCAAATCAAATCATCATGTAGAGACTTGCAATCAGTCATTACAATGACATCTAGTTTTCCAGATAACATGATCTCACTCAGCTGAGCTTGGATCAACTCACATGTTTCCACTGCTTCGATCATTGCCCAACTCTCCGCTGCTAAAGTACTTTTACATACTCTCCGGATTTTTCTACTCTGCCATGTAATGGGGCAAGATTTTCCTGTAAGCGAAACAAGGAAAATTATGAAGCCTCCCTGAGAGCTACCGTCCTTCAAGTTTCCATACGATGCATCACAGAAAACCACTAAGACTTGTTGTAGCGTGAGCGTAGAAATAAAACAAGTTGTTAACACGTAATCATAGAGGCTAGGGAAGAACAAATCGTTAATAACAAATTATGATAGCAATCAATGTTCAATATATATAACAATCTCCCTTCGGCAAGTTATAGCTAGTCGGCCGATACAACTAGCTGCGCTCGCGTTTAACACGAGGAGCTAGGCGCGCGCGCAAAATTGAGGTCAGGAGGACTGTCACTTTTTAGCGCTGACTAGCTTAACGTCGCCGCGCGTTCCATACATGTGGAACAGCTTTTGTGACCAAACTGGTCTTTAACTTTAACTGTCAGAAAACAGACATAAAAAATACTTTCTCCCCACAGGTCGGGACAAAATTAGCAACATTTTGCTTCTTAAACGTTAAAAACTTGTAACTCATATTTCCATAAAATTGGATTAGCCACGTTCTCTGTCGAATTATTAAAATACATATAAGTTAAATCAGGAAATCTGTAAAATTTAAAATAATGAGTGACTCTAAAAATGTGATAAAAACAGCGGTTTGACAAATATTACAACATACGGGTTTACAATGATTTCAGTTCGTGATTACTCATTCTAACTCATGGTTTTCATTTTAGTGATAGCATCACTCTTAGCACTTCTGGTTGGTCCCAAACGCGGTTCAGGTAAGGGTGCACCACCTGTAGCTGTAGGTTTGGACAACTCAGACACCCGGACTTGCTTGTCGTTGGTTTTCAGGGGGGAAGCAACTTTCGGTTGAGGACGCTCAGTCACTTTAGCCGGTGAGGTATCCTTGACTGGGGACGCTGGTTTCGCCACAGCCTCAAGTCTGTTGCCGTTCGGAACTCCTAGGTTTAGTGCATTCATTCTCCGTCTTTCCCTTGTTTCATGCAGCTTCTGGAACTTAATGTCAGAGCGAGCTATCTCTCTGGTTAACAGCGTTTTTTGCGGTTTTATTGCGTCAGCGTGTTGGACCACGTAATTGTTCGAATTATCACCGAGTCTTTTGATTACTCTAGCTTGTTCCCAGTGGCTTTTGTCGTCCATTTTGGCGAAAATGAGCTGATTTTCCCGGAACTCTCGAGTTCTGGGGTGTTCGTTAATTGCAACTTGCAGTTTCTCAGATTGCAATTCCTGCTCCCTCATCCGATCGGTTGGTTTGATTTGGTGTAGTTTAGATCGCAGAGTTCTGTTGAACGCTAACACAGCTGGTGTTTGACCAGTAGACGAATGGGGTGTGTTGCGGTAAGTTAGCAGAAAATCGTTCAGATTCTTGCACACGTCCTTACTGGTTACAGACATCTTTTTCAGGGCGGATTTAAACGACTGAACAAGTCGTTCGCAGATTCCGTTTGATTTGGGAGAATACGTCGGAACAGTCACGTGCTTTATACCACAGGATTTCAGATATCCCTCAGTTTCATCCGACACGAACTGTGGTCCGTTATCCGTTACCAGACAAATTGGAATACCTGTACGAGAGAATATGAATCTAAAAGCACGTATTGTAGCACTAGATGTTGTATTTGTGTTCATTTGAACAACTTCAGGCCACTTGCTGTAAGAGTCTACTAATAATAGCCACATGCTGCCCAGGAATGGGCCCGCAAAGTCCGCGTGTACTCTTTGGAAAGGTGCACTGGATTTAGCCCAGGGGTGGTCAACGACTTTAGTCATGTTCTTACCATACTTGGCGCATGTCTCACACGTCCGAGCAGTATCCTCGATTTGTGTGTCAAGACGTGGCCAGTAAACGTAAGATCTGGCCAAGGATTTCATACCTGTTACTCCAATGTGAGTGGCGTGCAGAATATCCATTACAGTGCTTCTCAGTTTAGCGGGAATCACGACACGGGCTCCCCAAGTTAAACATCCAAGTTCATGGCTCAACTCGTCTCTTCTAGTCCAGAAAGCTTTGAGATCACCGTCACATTTCAGATTCTTCGGCCAACCATTCAGAGTGTATTCCAAAACTCTGCTCAGAATCGGGTCCTTACGAGTGTCGTTCGCCACTAACTCAGCATTGAGTAAAGTCTCGCTCATAGTCAGTGCAAACATATCACCAAACTCGTCTCTCTCCCTCACAGGGTGTGTTACCGATTTTGGCAGCCTGGATAACATATCAGCGTTAGCATGATCCTTGGTATTACGATATTGAATGTCATACTGGTAATTCATAAGGAATAAAGCCCACCTAGTTAACCTACCGGCAGTCATCTCTGGAATTGGCTTATCGCCAAATATACGAACCAGCGCACGATGATCTGTCACCAAGGTAAACTGTCTCATATACAAGTAAATATGTAGGCGCTTTATGGCCCACACTATGGCCAGGGCCTCTTTGTCCACTTGAGCGTAATTCCTCTCGGCCGGTGACAGGGTCCGGGAGATGAACTCAATGGGGCGCTCATCCCCATTCAGCATAATGTGAGACAACACTGCGCCAATGCCACCGATTGAAGCATCAGTGTCCAGTTTAAGAGGAAGCTTGGGATTGTAAAAGGTCAATACACGGTTAGAAGCCAGCAGATTTTTCAATATTTTAAACGCTGTCTTTTCGGTATTTGTCCACACCCACTTTACATTCTTAGCTCTCAGCCTTTCAATTGGAGCAATCACAGACGACAAGTTGGGCAAATAGCGCCTGTAATAATTCACAGCCCCCAAAAAACTAATCAGTTCGTCCACATTCCTAGGTTCTGGAGCCATCAGCATACTCTCGACCTTGCTTTTCACGGGTTTGATCCCTTCAGCAGACACCACATGACCCAGATAGACAACTTCTTTTTGCATGAAAGAAGTTTTTTCGGTTTTACATTTAAAACCTCGCTGCTCCAACCTACTTCTGACATTATTGAGGTTGATCAGATGGTCACTCTCATTTCGACCAGAAACTAATATATCGTCAATTCTGCAGCACGTCATAGGCACACCCCACAGAGTGTCATCCATACATGACTGGAATATAGCCGATGCACTGTTGATGCCATCCGGCAAGCGATTCCATTGATACAACCCTTTGTGCGTATTCAGGGTGGTCAAGACACGGTCCTCATTTCTTATCAACAGGTTATTATAAGCCTTTTTGATGTCAATCTTAGAGAACGTTTGTCCCCCCTGCACAGCATTCAGACATTCCTCCACGGTAGGTAGAGGGTATTGTCGGGTGCTGATACATTTGTTCAGGGTCGATTTATAATCCCCACAAATGCGCACTGACTGCCCTCCATCCTTCTTCAAAGGCACTATGGGTGTCCCCCATGGACTGTCTTCGACTTTGGTTAGAATCTTCGCTTCAACCATATCATTTAACTCACTTTCAACCTTGTTTCTCAAGGCATAGGGTAGACTACGGGCTTTCATCATAATAGGTTTGGAGTTGTCCTTCAGGACCAAACTTGCCTGTACACCCTTAACTAGTCCTAAACCCGATTTAAACACCTCGCTCTGTTTTAACTGAGCGATACTACGACATTGATCAACCCGAGTACAGGTGTTTTCACATTTCCACCTGTTTTTCACGGTCGCACCATCGGTTAGCATGTCACCCTTATCGACACCACTCCCAGAGCAGCTTTCACAGCTCACTGACACCTGCTGGGATTTGTCTGGGGCTACATTATGTACTAACTTTGTGCTGAGCAGCTTCTCTAGCCAATTCTGTCCACAGAACTTTACAATCCACGGTCTTCCAAACAAACTGGGGAAGTCCTCTGCTACATAGAGCTGCATTCCATGAGCTTTTTCACCGTTCAACTCTACATTAACTACAGCACAGCCGTCAACTGTTTTGATTTGTCCGTTTGCAACCCGTAATGTTTGCCTGCTGGGTGTAAGTGTTAAATTGGCCAAGCCACAAGATAATAATGTACGTTTGCTCACAACAGACACTGCAGACCCTGAATCGAACTCCATAGACAGAAGTTTACCGTTGATTTCTACTTCTACATACGGTTTGCTTAACTCAATCATATTGACATTCGGAAACACATTATCAGAAACTAAACTTAAGTCAGACTTATCAGTGGTAATAGTGGAATCGGGATCACAAACAAGATAACTAAAATCAAAGGCATTAAACACCTTATCCCTCACATACATATTTGAAGATTTCGAATCAGTTAAATGAGTAAGTTTAGAGAAATCAGCACACAGATAAGAACATGTATTAGCATTACCTTTTTCAATCTCAACTGAATTACACTCATTGTCATGATCATACTCGGGGTAAAGCTCATTGTCCAAGGCATTTTCACAATTCTCATCCATACCGAACTCATAACTCTCCGAACTCGACTCTCCTTGTTCAATGTTGTGAACAATGCTGTTTTGCTTGCAATTCTTGGAGATGTGTCCAATACGTTTGCAGATATGACACCGGACTTGACAATTTTCACCAATATGTCCACGAAGTCCGCACCGTCTACATTTAAGTCCCTTTTGCATTCCACTTTTCTGCTTTCCACCCGAACCACCTGAACTTTCCCCCTTCTTCCCATAGAGGTTTTTCATTGTTCTTTTGAATGTTGGTTTCACAAAGTTCACTGATCTCGATGACTCTCCCGGTGATAACGTGCTATTCATGAATTGAGCCTCCCTGTCTTTCAAACCAGCTTTTTTGACAGCATGTGACGGTTAGTGGCTCTTTTGTCCTCGTCGCCATTTGTTGTAGCGTGAGCGTAGAAATAAAACAAGTTGTTAACACGTAATCATAGAGGCTAGGGAAGAACAAATCGTTAATAACAAATTATGATAGCAATCAATGTTCAATATATATAACAAGACTGACTCAGGCAACAGTAGTTTCTTAAACCTGAGTGTTAGAGGATTCTTTTCTAAGAACTTTACTGTTTTGTTTACCATTTTCAAATCTGCGATGGTCCCTTCAGTCACAGAATTACTAGCAAAACATGTAGCATAAGCTACATCTGGCCGTGTCTGTGTTGATACCCACAACAACTGTCCGCACACAGTTCTCAGTTGTTGCTTTTCTTTCTCGTTGATTGGGAGCGTATTTCGATTCACTCGGGTGGGGTCGATCTCTATTCTTGAAATCTGGTCTGCATACCCCAGTTGTGATACCAGAATTCCAGATTGTGTTTGCTTTACATCAAGACCAGTATAAGCAAATTCAACTTCGACCTCCGTACTTAGACGAAACTTCTTGAACTTCAGTTCCCCAATAACTTCCCTTTCAAACTTCTTGCTTCCACTGAACATCAGATCGTCAACATGCACAGCAATGATACCCTCAAGTTTTCCTTCATCATACCAGAACATGAATGACTCATCATATGACGATACCACAACATTTAACTTCACTAGAGTATCACGAAGCTCAACATACCACATTCTAGGTCCGTCTACTAACCCGTAAATACATTTGTTCAGTTTCCAGATTTTCCTCGTTTCAGCTTCCTTCGGAGGAATAATGAAGACATCTCTTGAAATCTTCTTGCCTTGCAAAAAGGCAGCCTGAACATCGATGTGTTGTAACTTCCAACTTTCTGTTGCAACTATTGTAAGGAGCAGTCTTATAGAGTCCCTATTACATGTTGAGGAGTCCTTTCGTATGTTGCTACTATTTTCTTGATAACCAAGTGCCACTAAACGAGCTTTAACAGAACCTTCTGCTTTCTTTGTAATTACCCAACGAACACCAACATTGGACTGTTCGTTTGCATCAACTTCCACGTAAACCTTGTTTACTTTGAACTTCTCAAGCTCTGCTAGCTTGGCATCTACAACTGCTTGGTCATACATACTCACACTGGACAGCAACACCTCTTCTTCTGTTTCTGGTGACAGGTCATCTCTCCAATTCACAGCAAGCTCATACCAATCCACACATTGGATGCTCTCCTCACCATCAAGTTGAATATTTACACAGTTTTTGTAACTGCCAGTTGATTTTCCAGCACGGCTATGGATATTTAAAGCTTTATGCCAGATCTCACCATCCTCCTCTGGATACTTTGGAAGAAACTCCACGTGACTTCTTGCTTTAGGAAGTCCTGATTTGTGCTGAGGTCTGATTGTTGCTGTTGTCTCACTTTGAGGCAGTGTTTCTGTTTCCGGTACAGAAACTGCTGTTTCCATAGAGCAAGATGGTTGATCCTCTAGGAAATTTCTCTGCGTCTCTAATGGGGATTTTGGTGAACTTGATACAATACTCGGGTTAGGTTGCCTAACAACTGACTCTGAGGTAATGGGATATCCTGTTGTTGTATCCCTGGTTAGATGACACGCACTGCACTTATAATACTGATTTCCATGCTTTAATATATATAAATGAGTAATGTCTCTCCCCAGTATAACACCTGGCCCACTCCATTTTGCAGATCCTTTTCTCTTGTACATCACCTTTTCACCGTTGCTATAATACTCATCATTGCTTGTCCGAACTTGGCTTTGCAGAGCTCTACGTATCTTGTTGCTACTTTCACACTTTGCAAATGCTTGCCTTGCACTGTGCATTGCATTAACATTATCAGCCACGGTTTTACTCACCGTTGCTTCTTCTAAAGCTGGCAGTCTATCATCGATGACATTCGGAAGTGAAGGGTTACGGCCCATTGTCAACTGATTTGCAGAAAACCCACCAAACATCTGCATGGAGTTTTTCGCACTTAGTGCCCAACACAATGCAACTTCCCAGTTGCATTTTGAATCTTCCTTCGTTTTTACCATCATCTCTGTCAGCATCTTATGATGACGTTCTACAATCCCATTGCTCCAAGGGCTCTCGGCAGCTGAATTTTGCACATCCACATTGAATCTTTGACACATCTCAGTAAACTCCTCATTTAACGGAGTAGTTCGCTGTTTATTAGTCTCATGATTGAAATACTGATATCTGGATATTATCCGGTTGGAAGAGACAAGGACAAGTCCTTGTCTCTTCCAACCGGATAATATCCAGATATCAGTAAACTCCTCATTGGCGAACTCTCCACCATTATCAGCCATGAATTTCTTTGGATTTCCAAAGATGGATATCCATCCAGAGCAAATTCCTTGGATGATTGTCTCTTTCTTCTTATTGTAGATTATTCTAGCTGCTGAATATCTTGTCACCGAATCAATCATATGCAAGATATACACATTTGGAGTGCCAGGAACATTCTTAAGATCCATTGCAACACATTCGTTGAACACCTTTCCTCTTGGGAGACCCACCACTGGTCTTGACTTGGGTTTCTTGTACATCAGACATATTTTACAACTGCTGGATACCTCATCAATTGCTTTCATGTATTCTGGTCTCTTAAATCCTGCAGTTTTCAGCAATGTTTTCAGTTTATCACTAGGAGGGTGTGAGAATTGTTTGTGGATTTTTTTCCACTTTCCTCCTAATCTCCTTTTCGTCAGTACCAAACAAACCTTCTTCGCTGATTGTCATCACCAGATGTGGGGTCTTTCGATCTGGCGGCCCAATGGTCATGCGTCTTTTATTACAAAGAGGAACGCAATAGTGCTTTGATTTAGTTTCAAACAAATCAACACAATCTCCACTGAATCTCATTGTATCATTTGTGAAATCCAACACAGCACCAGCTCTCTTTAACGATGCTTTACTGAGAAGCAACTGCAGTTCTTTCTCAACAATGTTTGCTTCTATCCGAACATCTGTCTTTCCTTTTCGCCCAGGGATGATAGTCTTTTCTGTGGAAATGACTTCGAGTCCATCCCCAAATCTAAAAGGCGTCGAGCAAGGTTCACTAACCATCATTTTCAGTTGTTTTTCTTCCAGAGTTTCTCTGTAGTGATTTACCCAGTTCCTACCAACAACTGTCTTTGTACATCCAGAATCAATAACTGGGCATATTTCAAAACTGGTTCCACTTGGAGGAAATTTCAGAAATGCTTTTATCAATCCAATTTTGGAAATTTTAGAATGTTTGAACTTTATACTTTGAAAATCTGCAATATTGGAGACATCAATCTACTCTATCATGCAAAAATAGCTCATTCTATCATCGACACTAAAACAATTCTCAAAAGTGTGCTCTACTTCATAACGTCTCTAGATAAGGCCTTTACTTGAACTAAACCCAAATTTTGTGTGTTAGTATATGAGATTTCATTTTTATAGACTGATATAAAGCCCAATCAAGGAGAAAGAGCTAACATGGGGAAAATGTGGTTTAAAAAATTTTGTCACTCCGTAACAAAAAAGTGTCAAAAAGTTATCTATTCTCTTAACTACACGCCTATTGCATTCCATATTTTCTGAAGTATCTCAGTGACCTTACACTAAGATTTTCCAACATTTTCGATTGATAACATTATAATTTAAGAAGAGATATGATGAGCCAAACTTTGGTCACTCCGTAACGCTGTGTTACAGAGTGACAAATTCAAGGGACATTGTCACTCCGTAACGAATTTTTTATTGACATTTCAAGATTTACAGTTGTTATTGATCTGGTTTTTAATATTGATGCCAGATTGCATAATACCTAGCTTGTCAGCTGACACCACTGTCAAGGGTTGTCGGTATTTCAGTACATGACGTGATCTGATCCTACGTGCTTATCTGTTAGACGACACCAATCTTCAGGGCGTGAGATATTTGAGAACTTGATGTGATCCAAACAAGTTAGATAATTTTAGTTATCCTTTAATTTAAAGTTCAATTTAAATGTCTGGGAATATGGGATCGGATCACATTATCATGTATTTACCTAGGCGCTAGCTTTAATTAGGTGCACTCTATGATACGACCAACCTTGTAATTATGTAATCACCTAATCACGCTCTACCTGAAGCATGGTGCCTGGGGCTATTGAGATATGAGCCGAAACACAAGGAAAGATCACGTATTTTTGGATAAGTTGCAGCATGACCTGATCACATCTTAACGCTATTTCAAGTGTACTATTAACTATAGTACACCATCTTAGTACTTTAGTATATATCAAACACACACATTGACGTCTATTAACTATAGACTGGGCTATTAACTATAGCCTGTACTATTAACTATAGTACACCATCTTAGTTGCTAAATCAGTTGCTAGTTTCTGATTTACCTTACGACATGTAATGGCTTTGACGGGGAAAGGGAGGGCTCGTATATGTAGAGAGAAAAAGAAGATGGATCCTGTTAAGTGGGCAGACTACAAGAGGAAAGATGCTTTGAGAAAGTCAAACTATAGGAGGACAGCTGAAAAAAATGATCCAGTCCTGTTTGAAAGCATCAAGCTTAATGAACAAGCAAGACAGATTAAATCGAGGGAGAAAGTTAAGAAGCAAGAGTCAGATAATAGCAGTCCTGCTTTCTCATCAAAATCTTCGAAGGCGAGAAGCGTGGTAAGGGTATCAAGACACATCAATAAATTTGTGTGTCTACCTTGTTTAAGTGTTATCTATCTAATTTTGAAAAGAATTCTACTATTTAGAGCCAGGAACAGGATGAAAAATGATGAAAAATTCGAGTGGAATGAGAGACTGTTTGATGCGTCACTCCGTAACAGTCACTCCGTAACAATCCCCAAAATTTTTGAAGCCTCAAATTTTTTATTCCTTAGGCAATACACACTTTTTCTTGATTAATTATTGAAGGAAATTGTCTGAAAAGTGCCTGGAAGCCGTCAAAATGCAACTTTCAAGAATATCTGAGATAAAAATTAGGTCAGAATATGGGTGTACCAAAATCTGAAAATTTATCTAGTCACTCCGTAACGAAATTTCGACTTTTAATTACTCAAAAACGGATTGATTTCTCACTATTTTCTTTGGCAGATATGTAAATCGTAGGTTTGAAAAGCCTTAGAAACATAATTTAACCAATAATGAACCTGTTTTCTTGGACATTTTTCGGAAAAAATGGGTAAAATTGTCACACCGTAACATTCTATAGTTTTGAAATATGCCCAACTGCACATGCTAATGACTCATATACAAGAGAACCAAGGTTCGTATCACTCATCAGGCACTCTTCAGGAATCTCAACAACATCTTCAGATTCAGACACCACCATAAATGTTAAGAATGCACCCTCTGCTTCCATGGCCGTAACATTCTCAGCACCATCTTGTGCGAAATACTGTGCATTATCTGTTGAACTTGAAGAAGCTCTGTTCTTGCTTGTGCACCATCTCGCAATATGGTTTTTATCGCCACAAGCATAGCATCCAGTATACGCACTCTTTTGTCGATTATACGGATGATGATGATTCCCACGTCCTCTTGACATCCTTCTGTAGTTTCCTCGTCCACCTCTTGGGGTTGAGTTGTATGTATAGTTACATTCCTCATGTTCCACCTTCACTGACGCAGGCGGTGTGGAAAGGTTCGATTGGACGGAGAAGATTTTCCCGATCGTTTCACACATATCTTTATAAGTAAGATCCTTTACAGTTGCCAAAGCGAGATCATATTTTTCTGACGGAAGGTTAGCGCTGTTAAGGAATCTGAAGGCCAGAACTGCTTCAGGAAGAGTGATTTTGTGTCTCCTGAGATCCGCTAGCAACTTCTCAAACTCAGATATGTAACTCTGTAGAGACAACCCTTCTGGTCTCACATTATTTTCAAACTTACCGTAAACTCGGTAACAGGTTTGAGCTGAGTCCTCTAAATAGATTTTGTCAAGATGACTTAAAATCTTCGCTATTGTATCCTCTGCAATTAGGACATCTTTCCCCAATGATCGTACTGTATCCTTTATCTTCCCTTGTTTCAATTCTAAGAGCAACGCAGTTCCTTGTCTCTTTTTCTCTAAACCCGTGAACTCTTGCCACAGCTGCAGGTCTAACTTCCAATTGCAGTAGTCCTGATCCTCACTGTATGCCGGTGGGGCTTTGTAATTACTAGTTACTCTAACTGTCTCTGGGGGTGCCATTGCGTCCTTCTCTGCTACCACTTGTTAACTTTAAATGGATCACTATGCAATGAAACACACCAGTTGTTACAAGTAATTATCAAACCCCACAGACAACATGTTTGTGGTACATTCTGAAATAGAACACAATTAGTATATATTATATCGACTATCATAAATATATAAACCAAATATATAGCAATTCACAGTCACTACCTGTCTCGGAGCAAACCCACTTCCGTTGTAGTACTTCTGCGGGCAAACAAGGGACTTCCGAGCAAGGTCAAAGCCTGGGAGATATGTCTCTATGCGGAGATGGGCCTAGATTGAGTTCCTAGTATGGGATTTAGCGAAAGTTCCTGGTGAAGAATTCTAGGAGGTTACCCAAAAGGGTTATCCCTATCCAGTCTTGTCGACTGTTCCACAAATTTGAAGATATGATTGTAGTTTACTGTTGTAAAGGTAGAGTTTACCAATTATCCTCATTTATGAACGTCATGATCTGGATGCACTTGCAGAGGAGGTGCTAGGATGTTCTGCTTCTCCTGAAAAGTGTTCACAATCTTGCGTCTCGAATTTGACGTTGTTTGCCACGTTCTGAAAATAAACTAGTGGGCTGTTACCTATCCTGAAAGCGGCCATGTTAGGCATATGATGTGAGTTCCAGAAAAATTAAAGTTCCTGTATTTATATTTGTGGAGGAACATCACAAGTGGAATGTTCCTTTGTCACTGAGAGTGGCCTAATTGGGAGGAAGGTTTCTGGTCCTATGGCCATGGGGATTTTGTTGGATTGATCGTCCCTAGCGAATTCGTCCGCTAGTTCTTTATCGTATACTCAGTCATGTCCTGGAACGGAGTTCTACTCGATGAGAAAACCTAGTGAGTTGAGTTGGTCTGAGATGTTCAGAACGAACCTTGCTGTCACTGTATGAACCTACTCAATTTTTTTGTTAAAAGAAATAAAGTTACCAAGACCATATTAATACCAATCTTATTTAGCAATGTATGTTCATTAGTAGACTAAGAACAACCGCAAGTCATTACATAAAGACTCAATTCATTTGGAAAGCAGTGAGAGGGATGTCTACTGAAATAACTGGAGAAATGGCTGAAATGCAGTTAGTTAGACGATATTTAAAGAAATATGAAAATTGAAAACATTAACAATTTTTGAAATTCATGAATTGACAGAATTCTTTGGTTTTTTAAACGTTTAAAATATTCTTTCGGTTAAATTTCCTTTTAATGGAGAACAAAAGTCTTGTGAGGTACTGTTCACACTTAACAAAGTTCATTTCATTTCAGGATAGAAAAGAAAGAACAGGCCGTTAACCAGAAAGGCAATCAAAAGGGAAATAAGAAGAAGGAGAAAAAGAAAGGTGTATTTCCAAGCCTTCATATTTCTATCTCCTACACCTGCCATCGACGAATTCATTTTTAGCCTACTTTATTAATTCGGTTATATTGAAGTGTGGTTGTTCATTTTTTAAATGTTTAATAGTTTACCTTTGCCTTCTGGGCCAAGGTTAGGGACCCTCGTTTTTAACAAGACACCTCAAGTTGATTACCTCTCCAATTTGAAATGCTTTATTGCAGGAGGCGGCGGCGGTGGTGGTGGTGGCGGAGGAGTTGGTACTGGGGAAATGTCACCATGGCCTAGCTACATACAAGAGAGAATAACACTGTTCGACAAACTCCACTCTGAATACGAAGAGTACCTCAGTACCAGGGAGAGAAAACCAATCAAAGTAAGTTGACTAAAACACTTTTTAAGGATATATTATATACGGTTTGGGTTATTTGGGCTTTTGGGTCAGTATCGACCTACCACGCTTCGGTGTCTCTCGTTCAATAAGATACACTTGCTTACCTCCCATTATGACCATTAATGCCCCCCCCCCCCCCCCCACAATCATGTTCTTAATACACTCCTATTGTTAGTATACTTCCACCTGTTGCTTGTATTTGTAACGCTTTGCCTGTGTCAAACACCACTAATTGTAGCATGGAAGGCGTCTATAAGTAACATCCGACTCTTGACATATACATCGTTGATCGTAGTACGTTCCAGCAGTAACCTCTCAAAGAAGTGTGACCTATTGTATTTGTTTATTGTATTTGAGACAAAAAACACTTTTGAACGCTCCTTCCTAGTTGTACTTGAATGTTCTCCGTAAATAACATGCTTCAAACAAACGCAAAAGTTGTTGTATTATAAACTCACTTAATTCCTACCGCCACATCGAGTTGCGTCATGTACCTATGCATTTACAATAGAAAGGACCACGCCCACCATCATTGCGTTTAAGGTCCTCTGTACTTACTAATAGTGTTACCTACTAACTTCTGTTCTAATTTTAGGTCACGTTACCAGATGGAAAAGAAGTAGAAGGAGAAAGTTGGACCACCACGCCATTTGACATAGCCAATGGGATCAGTGCTGGATTGGCACAGAACAGCGTAATTAGCAAGGTTTGTCCTATTGCTAGTTTTTAGCAGTTTTATATAATAAAAGCAAGTCCATTTTCGCGCAAACCCACGTTTTACGCGCCGCGCACGTTTGTTCAGGAAAATATTAAATTGGAGGGAATATACAATAAATACACACCTAGTTTAATTGTTAATCAGATGACAAAACTTGCAGGTAAACGGAGTGCTATGGGACTTAGACCGACCTCTGGAAGGAGACTGTAATATTGAACTCCTTAACTTCTCCTCAAAAGAAGGAAAAGAAGTGTTCTGGCACAGCACAGCCCATATCCTAGGAGAGGCTATGGAGAGGAGATACGGAGGATGTCTTTGTTACGGTCCTCCAATTGAGAGCGGATTTTACTACGACATGCATATGGGAGAGGTATATAAATTTGATTTCAGGATATAAACATCTAGTTTGTGCAGAATTTTCATATTTCATAGAGATATGGATATAATGTTTTTGTCATAACTTCATTAGATTTACGATGTTTCATGTTCATTAGATGGTTATTAGATTTAATTAACAGGATGCTGTTTGTGAGGCTGATTACGCTGGACTAGAAACTATAATGAAGGGCATTGTAAAAGAGAAACAACCATTTCAACGATTGGAAATTACCAAGGTTAGTACGTTAGGATATATAGTAGACAGATCCATCTGGGGAAAAGCGCTTTATCGACACAACGAGCTTTCAAAGGATTTTTTACATTGTTGAGTCCCATTAGGTGTCCTTTGTGGTTGACCAACTTTTCATACCTTTTCCACGTGTTTTTAGTTGTGAACATCGTAGAAGGCTGTGGACAGTGGATTCACTAAGGGTGTTTTTATCTTATCAATGACAAAAACTTTTGGGTCTTAGATTTTCACGTCAGATAATCAGTTAATTGGATTAAAAAGAATTGGCAAAAGAATCTCTTCCAACAATTATTAATATGTTCCCACTCAGGAGGACTTGCTAGAGATGTTCAAGTATAACGAGTACAAAGTTAGGATAATAAAAAACAAGGTCCAAACCCCCACCACCACCGTGTACAGATGTGGTCCTCTGATTGACCTGTGTCGTGGTCCTCATGTTAGGAACACCGGCAAGATCAAAACTCTCAAGGTTTGTTTTCTTAAATAAAATATTATATAACATTTAAAAAAATAAAAAATAACACTCTCAAGGTTACTCTTCTGTGGTCTGTACCTCTGAGAATGACAGCTGCGTAAAGCTCGTCCCTAAATTTGGATCTTGTTGAATTTTTTTATTTTATTATTTTTTAAATTTTTAAATTTTGCAATAACAATCTTTTTTGTTACCAGCTCTTCCGTCTGATCACTCATGGATAAGTTTTCTATATTTTATGGTCCAATTCTCCTTTCTAATTTTATATGTAAAGATTTCCTATCCAGGTAACGAAGAATTCCTCCACCTACTGGGAGGGAAACGCAGAGGCGGAGTCCCTGCAACGTATCTACGGTATTTCCTTCCCTGATAACAAGCTTATGAAGGAGTGGAAGATATTCCAGGAGGAGGCCGCTAAACGCGATCACAGAAAGATTGGTAAGACTCTCCGTTGACTGTGGTTTAGAGATTTAATGTGCATAAGCAAGAATTTGGTCACACTGCCTATTATTTTTAGGCTTATTATTTTTTTAACGCTTAGTTTACTTTTGATACTCGGACGGACATTTATTATTTATTTCGAACAGACTATTAGTATTCCCTTTGTATAGGTTTACAACAAGAGCTATTTTTCTTCCACGAACTAAGTGCTGGTTCGTGCTTCTGGTTACCCAAAGGTACAATCATCTTCAACACGCTGCAGAAATGGATTCAGGTTTGTGGCTATTTACAGGATCCACGATATTAATCCTCTCGAGCGAATGAGGGCTAAGAGTAAACTTCAATAAAATACACACAATAGTATAAGAATTTGTCAGTTGATAACAGTAACAGTAACAGTAACAGTAATGAGTAACAATAACATAAACAGTAACATAAACAGTAACATAAACAGTGAACTGTTTTCAGAGTGAATACCTGAAGAGAGGGTTCACGGAGGTGGTTACTCCCAATATGTACAATACTAAATTGTGGGAACTCTCCGGTCATTGGCAGGTTCGTCAACTGCATTTATTATATGAATTAAACAATTTATTATATAAATGTAATATTAATTGTTTAATTTATTAATTTATTAATTCTTTTCTGGGTTTGGACAGGATATGCCCGCTTAAAATATTTCCATCACGTTACATTACATAATTCTCAATAAATGTAATAGATTTGTAGTGTTGTAATTAGTTTAAAATTAGTTTTAATTAGTTTATAATTCTTTCATAGTATCTGTATTTTCAACCAACCCTTCTTCGCTCTTTCTCAATCTTGCCATCTATCTCCTTTTTTTAATAACAGAGATTAATAAACTAATCGTGTGGTCAGCTACACCTAACTGTTTAAACTTTGAAGAAAATTGTAACATTTTCCCCTTCACCACAGCACTATGCTGAGAACATGTTTACTTTTGACGTGGAAAAGGAGAAGTTCGCACTGAAGCCCCAGAACTGCCCCGGTCACTGCATCATGTTCGACCATCGGCCCAGATCTTGGAGAGAACTGCCTGTCAGACTAGCCGGTTAGTGAACTTGAATTAGTGACCAATTTATTAATTAATTGCACAATTACCAATCCTGGACTATGGTGCGCCTATTTAGATAGGCGGTTAAGTCTTGAGATCTCTGATAATCATAGTATTTCTGCTCTATTTTACTTGTGACGGTAGATCCGATTAAAATCGGCCCGGTTATGATTGGATCGATTTTTGGGTGTATTTTGGTTGATCTCAATGAGAATCTCTAAAAACCCGCCAATCCTTAATCAGTGCATTAAATAACTATAGTAACAGGGGAATTAAATTCTCCCTTTGAATCAATCAAGCTAGATGATTTGTTGTAAATACTGAGATCAAACTATCAATTTACAGGCTATCGTCAAACATGTTGCAAGGCGTCATCTTCAGTGACATAAGCCTAAAAATTGTAAAAAGTTAGTAAAACCCAAAATTCCTTTAAAAATCTGAACACTCTTAAAACGGTTATATAATAATTAAAATTAAGATGTTAGGAGTAACGGAAGGCCAAAAGGATTTATAGTGTTTATTCCCAAAGGTTTTAAAGTCTTGAGTTGTTGAATATATTTATGTTCACGAACTTCTAAAGTTTTAGGACTAGAATTATCAATAATTGAAACATTAAAAATTTTGTTAAAATCCTCCCTTTGTTTAAAACCATGATCCAACAAATCTAAGCCCAAACTATATTCATCACTTGTTTCATCTACCTTATCACCATTTAAAAGTTTATAATATTTGACCCTATGTTCTCCAGTTCTAACCCGTAGAGAGCGAGTAGTGCGACCGACGTAAGCCTTTCTACAGAAACTACATTGGAACAGATAAATGATGTTGTAACTCAGGCAGTTTCCAGGGGAAGCTTTAACCTTCTCGCCGTTAACTTTGAATTCATGGCTGCCTTTGACAAGTTCGCAGCATTTGCATCTTGGCATATGGCATTTGCTGGTTGGACCATGTTTAGCTCCTAAAGCAAGTTCTTTCAATTTGACAAGGCGAGATTTTAGGCTTGGCCCTGTTTTCTTGGTGTAACTGAATATTTTCTTCCTAGGCGTGAAAGCTGTTGAGGAGGTCTCTTGGGATGTTTCAACAGTGTCACTTTCACTGAAACTCCTTGTTCTTGAGAGGTTTTCTTCATACTTCTTAGTCACAGACACCAAATCATCATTACTACCATAAGTAGATATGACCCTGATTGGAAGGTGTAAAGATGTCTGGTCATCAGGAGATTGAACTTTGCGTAACAGTGATCTTGTTGAATTGAGAACCTTATTACTAATGTTCTCAACCATTTTCCTAGGGTAACATGCAGCAAGGAAGGCTTTTTTGAGGTTGTCGAGGTGTCCTTTGAGGCGTTCTTGGCAGTTGATGATCCTTCTGAGTCTAAGGCATTGAGAGTATACGATACCGGAATAGATATGGTTTTGGTGGGAGCTTTTAAAGTGTAGGTATGAACGAGAGTCCGTTTTCTTTATGAACAAATCCGTTTGGAGGTAGCCCAAGGAATCGAAAGTGAACATTATGTCAAGGAAAGATACGTATTTACCAGGGCAGTTCCACGATAAAGTTTCACTAGGTGATTTTATAAAGTTGGTCAGATGGCTTCAAAATTTAGTCTATTTGATCGACAATTGTCTATATTTTAATGCTCAAAGCTATTTTACAGCTAAATATAGCTTTAACTACAAAAAAAAATTCACCAAAGTCACACCACATTCACATCCTAAAAATGGCTTATTTCAAGACACGGCCATAACTGTCGATAATAACATGGAAACAACCTAATTTTCATCGAACAATAACATTTATGAATGTGTTACTTGATCCTGAAATTATGAAAACACCAGGAAATAGGGTTCTGGGAAAAAAATTTACCCCAACGAAGTGTCCCGTAGGTCACAAAAAAGGTATAAAAAGTTTTATTATGAAAAATAATAGGCATTTCTTTTTACCTAACGCCTTGGAGCTATCTCGCCGTGGCTGCAGGAGGTAGCATTCAAAGTTTTATCATGATTGTATGATGAGGTTTTGAGATATCGAGGGGGTAAAAGTGGTCCCGTAGGTCACAGGGGTGTGACCTGCGGGACAGTCCTGTAGGTCACAGATAATTAAATCGAAATTTTGAGTGAGAGTTACTCACAGTATATGTTTTAACATGTATCAGAGTTTATGTAGCATTTTTCCGCTGCCACATTAACTCTTTGTTTTGATAAAGATAACCTGTGAAGAGCCATAATTATGTCATCATAACTGATTTTGATGGTATTGATGGTAGCAAAGGTCATGACAAGTATGCTGTCTCTTACTTTACTAAGTTAACAGTCGAGAAGTTCTTGGCGAGAAGAAACTCAGATAATTACGAAGTTAAGAGTCTTAAGTTTTTCTCAGATGGCACAGGACAGCATTTTAAACAAAAATACACCCTCTGCCAAGTTGTGACATTAAACTTCCCAGAGCTGGAAGACGTTTCTTGGCATTTCTTTGCTACAAGTCACGGAAAAGGCCCCATTGATGGGCTAGGAGGTACCATCAAACGAAGAGTGACAGAGTATGCAATGGCTAATCGACAAGTTGATGTTGTCAGCACAGAGGATTTTGCTCGGATATCAAAAGAAAGGTGTCCCAACATCTTGATTGATTTTGTCCCCAAATCTGAAGTTAAGCAGTTCATCGAGAAGAACAGCATTCGAGAAGGATGGAAAAGTAATGGTAAAGATATACTCACGGCTTCATCAACAAGATCATGTCATGTGTTCAAGAAGAGAGGTAGTTACAGTATGAAGTTTGGAGCCCACTCATATGTTCCAGATAAAGAAATGAAAAACCATCTCTTCATTAAGGAAGGAGGTGTTGATCATAACCCAGAGTTTGAAGTTGATCAGCAATCCATTGGATCACTAAGTCCATCAAACATCAGTCTCATAGACGTGCCAGATTATGATATCACACCGAGTATAGACGTGCCAGATGATGAGAACATACCGAGTATAGACGTGCCAGATGATGAGAACATACCGAGTATAGACGTGCCAGATGATGAGAACATACCGAGCGTATATTCAAAGGGTGAATGGGTCATGGTATCTTATAACAACGTGAAGTATCTGCCAGGTATGATTCTAGATCATGATGAAAAGGAAAAAGAGTATTTTGTTAGGTCAATGGTCGCAGGTACATCAGCTGGTTTCTACATCTGGCCCTGCAACTGTGATGCCCCTTCATCAAGCCTCAGTGAGTGTGACAAGTGCCGAGATGACTCGTGGATAAAATCTGATCAGATCACCGCTAAAATTGCTGATCCAACACCCGACCTCAGCAGAAGATCAAAGGGGTATAAGTTTATCCAAGAATAGTAGAACTGTGTATCATTTGAACTGAGTGGGAATTTGTATAATCTATACAGCATGTGTAAAACGTATATCAAATATCAATACCTGTAAGTTAGACATGTGACTTTTATTTTACGTAATTAAAGACAGGGTTTCTATTTCTTTAAAAACATTTATTGTAAAGGTAAAACATGATTGATTTGTCATTTTTTATGGTATGTCCCTTTTTAATTGATCTTCAACAACTTAGATGTATTTGGAAAGCAGATACAAGGACCAAACAGCGATAAAAATAGTAATTTCAAAAAGTTCCACTTTTGTCCTGTAGGTCACAGTCCCGTAGGTCACAACTTTTAGAGGCTGTATCTACCAAATACTTTGATAAATTTATAAACCTTTTACATCCTAGAATAGCCAAAAGGATTTCTGATACCTCAAAACTAATTTCGGAACTCTACAGCAGCAATTCGGGATAGAATGTTTGGCTGAATGTTCCAGGTCCAAAATAGGTTGCACGGGAGTGTCCCGTAGGTCACAGGCCTGTATCTCAGCACTGGTAAAAACTATGAAATTGAGCTTCTACATAGCGTTAAATAATCGATTATCGAGGAGATTTAGCTATATAGCCAGACTTTCTTGGATAGCATGTAGTTACAATCAACTCTCAAAGTGGAAAATACGCGTATTTTGTCCCGTAGGTCACAGTGGAACTGCCCACCAGGATCTTCTATTTGGTACTCATCAATGATTAGGCCATGGGGGAGGAGTGCTTTGTTGACATCTGCAATCCAAATTTTGAACTCATCTGTAGTTCCCTCAAACAAACCTGCTCCGTCGTCAATGTAACGCCTGGCTGATACGATCTTCTTCATGAGCTCTGGGTTACTATAAACACATTTGTTCATTAGGTAGTAGACTGCTATGTTTGCGATTTGGACACATAGTGATCCACCCGTATAACTATAGTTATATATCAGTTTAATTTTCTTTAGAATGTCCAGATTAAGGCTTGACGGGATCTGATTGGGTCCAGAGTTAGATAATGCTAGTCCAGAGTTAGATAATGCTAGTCCAGAGTTAGATAATGTTAGTCCAGAGTAAGATAATGCTAGTCCAGAGTTAGATAATGCTAGTCCAGAGTAAGATAATATTTTTCTGAATTGTTCAATTTTAAAAACTTTTACATTGCGTTATCGTGGATTATTTCCGATAGAATTTGTACCGGAAATGTTCTGGCACACTTAAAAAAGGCACTTTTAAAAAATGCCTTTACATAAATAAAATCAAAAGCAAATACAAACTTATATTGGCGGCGTCATCGGTCATCCCCACTCTCCATTTGTTTTTAATATTTTCGGTTTTCGCCACTAAAACTCCAAGAATTCCCAATGCGGAAGTAAAACGGTAACAAATTAACAAATTCACAGTTTGTGTCAATAAATTGCTTTTTATCGTCTGTCAGCTTGGTCAAGTGTTAGTCAGCAAATCATCCAGCTGATCACTCTCTAAGAACAGTGGGTCTCTAGTTTTAATGTCCTTGAAACGCGAACGGTTAAAAGTGGCCAAAGGTTGGTCTACCGTCTGTCAAATGTCCTTCACGAGCATATTCACCACAAAGTGGCAACTCCATACTATGACGTTTAATATCCTCAAAGATGAAAACAATATTATAAATCGTGTGTTTAGTTTGTAGTCCGTGCTAATTAATAGCCGCGAGTGTTAATTGAATTGCTGACTCCTCAATGTTGATCTGTCTCCAAGAATATTGAGTTTTTCCTTTCCGGGGAAAGAATCCTGTTGACCATAACCTGCCAGTCCATGTAAGAAGTAGAAACTATCCTATCTTGTTCGGGAGCTGTCTTTTTGAACGGCCTTCGAGCGTGGTAGACTCTCCAATTATCAGTGATTACAAACTCTCCCGAATTCAATCTTTTTGTGTAGTGCCTACTAGGATCCTCCACTAGTCCTCTGTAGTACGTGTACGCTTCCCAAAACTTCTCTCTGGTTCCCGTGTCCGTGAAACGGGTGAACATGGCCGAATCCAGGTTGAACGGTTGATCAACCGTTTGCCAAATGTCCTTCCCGAGCATATTCACCACACAGTGGTGAGTCATCTGGAATAATCCTGTCCCTGGTGGCGTGTATCTGTAGGTCACTGGAACAGTTTTCAGCACTTCCAGAAGGTCGGGCCTTTTCTCTGACATCTCTTTGATCGCTGAGAAAGAATCTACCCAGAAACTCTCACCACCCTCAACAGTGTTCTCCACACAGTGGAAAAACTGCACGTGCGGTGTCTGAAAATATGATTGGAAAAGTAATCTTACATATCTCACAAAATAGCCCGTTTCCTCTTACCGCCGTTTTTATTTATCTCAGCCATGAAGTAGAAAAGTTCCACATTAATGGTTTATGGTATCTGACGTAATAGTATACCAATAATAAGTTCGACTTTTACCAATAATTCTAAAAATTTGTGGCTTCTGCTATGACGATACACAAAAATATTCATGGACTAGATTTATTACCTGATAATAATAAGAAAGGTCAAGGTGAGGAGCAAGGCCCCCGGAGCCATATCCTGGGTTGCTAGGGGTTGGCTTGTACTTTACCAGATCCACCGTCTTAAACACAGTCCTCCGCAAAGGTTTCATCTTAAGACCCTCCTCTACGACGTCCAACATGCCCTCTTCAGCCGGTATACCTTTCAGAAACACTATACCGTATCTCATGTAGTGGGTCAGGAACTCTGTGGTGTTATCAACGTCTTTTATTACCCAGGAGTAATCCCAAAGCTTGGAAACTTCCGCGTCTGGCTCCCCCCAGAATTTCTGTTCTGTGTTTTTTCTTTTCGTCAGATCTAGCAACTTTTCCATACGAGATTGTATTGGGTTAGGTCCGTAGTCTCCTCTCATGGTCCGCGCAATTAGTCCCTCATGTCCATCACTCCACTTCAATCCAAGATAATGATCTGACATTCTACCAATCTCCTCAACCTTGATTCCCGGGGCAAAGCTCCCACTTAAAGGTTGATCCAGGCACTGGTGGGCGTTTTTCCCAAAACAGGCTTCACATCGGCACATATTCCTGGTCTCGATGTGCAGAATATCCCTCCCGTCCAGCTGGATTCCCTTTTCCGTATACTTCACTGCATCACTGAGCAGTCTTGTCAACTGTGGTTTGGGTAAAGATGATGGTTTCAGCCGCGCTAGTCCGAATAACATTTTCCTGAATCTAGTTACAAGTGATTTAGTTTTTTAATTAGAAAAAAAAATTAGATAAGAAAAAAACATACTTCATGACGTATGTTGGTAATCCGTAATTCTGCGAAATAAATAAGATGTAAATAAGATTACAACTAACATCCGGTGTAAATACAATCGTCTGCCTATAGCTAGTTGATTAAAAAAAAACATTTTAAAAACAAAACATAAGTCATACTTCATTCACGAAAGCAAACGGATGAAGAATGCGACTGAAATTATTAATGTTGTAGCTGATATTTATGTTGTACATACAACATGATAAGAGAACCTCTTTGTGACCTTGCATGGCAAGCAAAACCGGATCCATAAAATATACCCATAAATATATCCAGGGTCACATACAACAATATCACATATGTGATATTGTTGTATGTGACCCTGGATATAATTATGGGTATATTTTATGGATCCGGTTTTGCTTGCCATGCAAGGTCACAAAGAGGTTCTCTTATCATTGGAGTAATGAATTAGGAAGTTTCTCAAGAATTGTGATGGACTTTGTATGACAAATAATCACTAAATACGATAATACTTATCTGATAATCACAGTTCTTGGCACAAAACGAGTTAATTAACTTAGATTTTGGGGGAATGAACTTGGAGAGTCCCGGTATATCGAAGTACCTGGTATACTTGTCGCCCGGTATTCGGTAACCGGTATTATTATATGTAAAGGTTTCAGTGTACCTGTATTGTACGAGAGAGTGTACGTGTTTTGTTGATTGGAGCAGATCCATTTGCTATTATACAGCTTATAATTATTTCCGGGAATTATATCTGCGAAAAGTCGATCCCTCCGCTGAAGCGTCGGGGGGATAACTTTTTTTGTTTAGGTAAAAGTAGTTTTTTGAAAAAAACAAAAAAAGAAAAAAAGGGGGGAAAAAAGGAAAACACCAATAAAATGATAAAAATAAAGCTCAAAATCGAAATAACTCAAAATGAATTTTTTGTTTATTTTTTGTTTTTTGTTTAGGTAAAAGTAAATTTTGTAAATGAATTTACGGGAATTATCGCGGGTAGCACTCAACAGCCAAGGTAATATTTTATTATAATTGAAATGAATTAGTTTAAAAATATTGAAAAACAAAATGATAAACCATACAACGCAAACGAATCAAAATAATTTTTGTTTTTAGTCGAAAATGATTTTGAATCATAATCTCAAGTCTCGTCAAATTACGTAGTGTTATAAAGATTAACCATTCTGATTTCTGGTAACTCCATATCATTATTATGACGTTTAATAGCTCGAAAGTAAAAGTATAAATCCTCAAAAATGAAGACAGACAATATTATAAATCAAGTGTTTAGTTTGTAGTTTGCTAATTAATAGCCGCGAGTGTTAATTGAATTGCCGACTCCTCAATGTTGATCTATCTCCAAAAATATTGAGTTTTCTTTGTCCATGGAGAGGATCCCGTTAGCCATAGCCTGCCAGTCCATGTAAGAAGTAGCACATAGCCTTTCTTGTTCGGGTGCTGCTTTTGCGAACGCCATTCTAGCGTGGTAGACTCTCCAATTATCAATGATTGCAAACTCTCCCGAATTCAATCTTTTTGTGTAGTGCCTACTAGGATCCTCCACTAGTCCTCTGTAGTACGTGTACGCTTCCCAAAACTTCTCTCTGGTTTCCGTGTCCGTGAAACGGGTGAACATGGCCGAATCCAGGGAGGTCGGATGATCAACCGTTTTCCAAATGTCCTTCCCGAGCATATTCACCACACAGTGGTGAGTCATCTGGAATACTCCTGTCCCTGGTGGCGTGTATCTGTAGGTCACTGGAACAGTTTTCAGCACTTCCAGAAGGTCGGGCCTTTTCTCTGACATCTCTTTGATCACTGAGAAAGAATCTGCCCAGAAACTCTCGCCACCCTCAACAGTGTTCTCCACACACTGGAAAAACTGCACGTGCGGTGTCTGAAAATATGATTGGAAAAGTAATCTTACAGATCTCACAAAATAGCCCGTTTCCTCTTACCGCCGTTTTTATTTATCTCAACCTATGATGAGAAGTTCGTACGGTACGTACTTTTTAAAATGGCTGTTCCGTACGTACTAATAAAATTGGTTATAAAGTACGATACACGGGTTTTCGATGGAAGTCCGACTTTCGTGACAAAATAATAACAGGAACAATTGAAATGACGCTACGGGCACCTAAACCTATGTCGCCGCATTCTCTTTTCCATCATTAGAACTTTAGAATAGTATGACTGTACAGTGCAGTGTACGTACTCCTATTGAGTATAATTACAGTTATTCAAATTAATTTATTGTCTTAAAAATTGTTTAATTCGACTTTAGCATTCACTTGCATTGCACCAAAATCGTGGTTTGAAAATTGCATACATACCTGCCAATTTTACAACAATAGAAAAATAAGGCAGAAAACGGACACCATTTTTTCATAAAAATGTCGTACTTTAAAGTGGTTGTACGGTACGTACTTATAAAAAATCTCGTACCGTACGTACTTTAAGCCGGGTACGGTACGTACACCTCATCTTAAATCTCAACCACGAAGTAGAAAAGTTCCACATTGATGGTATCTGACATAATGGTATACCAATAATAAGTTCGCCATTTACCAATAATTCGAAAAGTTTGGGGCTTCTGCTATAACGATACACAAAAATATTCCTGGGCTAGATTTAGTACCTCATAGTAGTAAGAGAGGTCGGAATGCAGTGGCAGTCCCTCGGTGCCATATCCTGAGTTTTTAGGATTTGGCTTGTACGTTACCAGATCCACCGTCTCATACAACGTCTTCCGCATAGGACTAATCTTAAGACCCTTCTCTACGACGTCCAACATGCCCTCTTCAGCCGGTATACCTTTTAGGAACGCGATACCGTATCTCATGTAGTGGGTCAGGAACTCTGTGGTATTATCAACGTCTTTTATTACCCAGGAGTACTGCCCATATCCAAAAAATTTTTAATTTCCTACATTCTCTATTTTTTCGTTTTCTGTGGCCCGCTCGCTTCGCTCGCATAAAAAGTCTTTGTATTCGCGGGGTTCAAAGATTTTTCATGGCGGATTCCAGATTCTCAATTTTACTTTTTTAGGGCCCAGAATGCTTTTTAATAGATAATCCTAGGTTACTTTTGGGGGCGAAGCCCCCGAAAATTTTGGAAATTTAAACTAGATTTGGCCTCCTGGAACGAATCTGACAATGGAGAACGATTTTAGCATACTATTTTCTGATTTCAATTTTTATTGGGATAAATTGTCTGGATTCTAGAATCCCTAAACACTTGGCTTAACTAAAGCACGAAATAGGAGACAGCATGAAGTATCAAGAGTTTATAATTTTGGCAAAAATGTTTTCTCATCTACTACCATCACTTTCTGCTTTCAAGCTATAAACTAATACAGGGTTAAGAGAATTTGGAGAAGGAAGCAAGTATGAGACCAAATATTCAAGAAACAAGGAATTTAAATTTTCCAAAAATATAATAATGACTATTAGTATTTACTATTTAAATAAGATAGGAAACGCAACAAAGAATGCTTATGCATTATGCATGTTTAGACGTATTACATCAACTCATAATACTATATAATGTTCTTTGAACTCCTGACATAAAGTTATTACAATTGCATTGATGACCGTTCACAACATTACATGATTGATAATGCTATTATCAAAACTGGAATGGTAGTCTATATTGGGATTTGCAGAAGTTTTCTATAGCCGCCCCCATCCCCCATGGGTGGTTTTTAGAAAAGAGTGGTTTCTTGCCATTCTCGTAGCAACCTGTTGAACAAGCTTTTCACCCTCAGCAGAACATGGTGATGGGGCCATCAGCCTAATCTGGAGCTCTTTTTGCACTCTTCTGTAATCCCTATCTGTATTCTTATAACGTAAGTGTAATGCATCTATCAAAGATCCCTGACTCTCTGCAATGGCCTCACTTGTGGCGATAGTCAGAATCTTTAAGAATCCATGAAGTGTTCTCTGTGGAAAATCATCATAATGTTTGATCAATAGCACCCGGAGGATATGTTGAAAGTTGGAGGACTTGATTTGTGTCACAATCTTGTTTGTAACTTCGCACAGTTTTTCAACAGTATACACCACAGATTTGACTGGGCATTCGAACATGGCACCCAAGTGTTCAGGATTGTACGTACAGCTATGTGTATGGGGGGAAACCTGTGAAAGCAGCGTGTTCATGAGCCCAGCATATGACTGCAAGTGGTCGTTTTTTGTCATATATATAATCTACTCGCTTGCAAAAACCCGTCAATATTGCCGAGACAAAAAGTTTGAATCTTTTAAAAATATTCTCCTGGACAAGCGGCTTTGCATATACCGCATTGGACCTCGGATTTAGACTTGAACTTTGGACGATTCATGATTATTAGGAAGTTCAACAACCCAATGTAAGCAACAATAGCAAGCGGGCAGAGCGACTAATTAAAAAACTAGAAAAAGTCCAATTCTCACGCCCATTCTAGCATCATCGTACAGATTAGTTAAAACGCCCTGTTTTTCTGATATTTTCTCACGCCACACGAGTTTGGGCTGGGTGTGTGCAGTGTGATACACACATTGAAGACGTGATGTGTATATGCTACTGCTTGCCAATACAGATATCGGGTGACACTGTAGACATATCCGGTTTCATAGACTAGATAAGTAGATAGTAAATTGTTAATAAAGTAATAATTAAGTAAATAAATCAGTTTTAAACTAATTACAACACTACAAATCTATTACATTTATTGAGTTTAGGGAATGTGCTAAGTAACACCCCGTATGGGGAGTATGTACTGATAACCTCTCATCTCTGGGGCGAGACATGATGTACCTGCTCAGTGGGTCTGGGAGTTGGATGGAATGCATCCGGCACTTCTTGCGAAGTGTCGGCCCAAACCTTCGGGACTAGGTAAGAGTGTGTCTGTCTGTATTGAGCCCTAATGGTAGTCTTTCGGATGTTGTTATTATTGAAATTGTT